TAAAAGTGGAGATTTTAGGAGGTGCGTGGGATCCGTGCAGGTAGAGACTTTTGGGTGCAGCTAGCAGCGAAAGGAAAGGCGACAATGCATTTTGACAGTTGCTCTGAAAACTCGGTCGCCAGAGCAGAGGAGTGTGAAATGAAGTGAGGAGTGGGTGTAGGTGGGGAAGGAGTAGTCGAGACTGGAGTCGGCACTGCAGTTCCATCCCCACTTCCTCCGAAAAAGACAACTTTTGGAAACCAGCCTCCCCTAAAAGCTCTCTGTGAAATTGAGAGACTGGAAGGGTGATGTTCGCAGCCTCAGCCGGGACAGACCCGCGAAGGTGCAATTGAAGGGGAGCTGGAATAGTGCCCTGTCACAGATCGGGTTTCCATACAACTATTATGAGACGGTCTCATCGTCCCTCACCTGGGACAGACCCTCTCCAGGCGTTGAGAAGTCTTGAGAAGGCTTTCCATGCAGCTCGACCAGAACCGATTGTGTGGTTGTCTATGGGGCTGCCACGGGAGCTTTTAGGGTGCTCATCTCAATCTCTTCATAGCACTCGAAGGCTCCTGAGACCACGAACTGTTCTCAGTTGAGTTCTCTCAGATACATCATGTTGGCATGCATTTATCTATTTGCATGCTTCTCGAGGCCTAATAAGCCACAAGGAAATACTTTGATGGCATCAGTGTAGCTTATTCTAGGGTCTTCTCCAGTGGTAGCATGGGCTTTTACAAGCTAGCCTGGAATATTAGTATTTCTTGCTGTGGAATTGAAAGTAGCTATGAAATACCCAGACTGTTTGCCTGTAACATGCCAGGCGGGCTGAGAGAGGAGTTTGTGTGGTTTCTTCATCTGTGGTTGGTGTTCATAGGGAGGAGATGAGAACCTCTGGGGACAGGTGTATTGGCAACCTGTTTATTTTCACGGCTCTCTGGTGCCTTAGAGGGAAGCACTCTGAGCTGCAGTGTGGAGAAAGCAAATGGATTGTCATAAGCAAAGGCATTGCCAACACGGATACTGGGGCAAAGAAGAAGAGCCTCGCTGCATGTGGTCCTCGTGTTGAAATGTCACGGTTCAGTCATTTTAATAGGTGCCTGCTCAGAATGTCACAAGTTCTGTTTTCTTATCCCTTTTTCATTTTAGATATGTGACGGTCCTTCCTATCAAAGGATGTTCGCTCATAGGGCCGGAATAGGGAGCCACTGAATTCTGAGCACCCAGTCTTTTTAATAGGCAGTTCTTATCATGAGTCAAATGTTGTTCAAATAAATTGTTTTAAATGTCACTGTAAATGACTTTCTAAACTACCATTTCACCAATCTTGATGCTTCCATTTTATGTTGATAATGAAAATACATTTTATGAGTCTTACATTGATAGAGGCTTGACAGGTATAACCAGAACATTTTAGAGGGAGTCAGACAGCTAGAGCCATTCAAAAGGCTTACTTTTATAGATGGCGACTCATTTGTAAGCCAATAAATAATGCAGTTTGAATTCTGGCTATTGATCTTGCATCTGTTGGCCAGAGGCTTGTGGGGTGGTTCAGTGAACCTTGCCAAATGACATATTTATCTGATTACATTTACAAAGAAGATACTTTAAAACATTATGGAATTATGCAAATGCTTGCTTCTTTAGGGCCATTTGTGTAAGCAGTAATAGCATGTATAGATGTGAGAACAGAACTTCTCCACTGTGCCCTAGGGAGCTTATAGCTTCACCTATCCTAAATGAATTTATGTAAATATGGTTCAAGAAATGAAAGTTGTTTCAGGCTTTCTTTTTTTGTTTTTTTGTTTTTGTTTTTTGTTTTTTTTAGAAAAAAAAAGTAAGAAACACAAAACTGTTTTTTTCTTCTTTGATTTTTTTTGTTTTTTTTTTTTAAGAAAAAAAAGTAAGAAACACAAAACTGTTTTTTTCTTCTTTGATTTTTTTTTTGTTTTGTTCCTGTTGTTTTGCCTTAGTGGTTGATTATAGGTTACTGGATCTATGTTGTGCAAAGCTGTTTTTCTTTAACTGATTAGGCAATCCACCTGCTATTAGGTGTAACAAAAGCCTGGGTTCACATCAACCTTCCGGACAGTAAAATACTAAAGCTTGTTAAGGTTGAGCTTAAATGCTAGCAGGGTGCCCTTAGCACAATTACATGTTAGGGTATAGTTAGCAAAGCCAGTTTCCTTTCCAATTCATTGGAATCTGAATTTTCCCTCTTTAGTGTAATGTTGTAAATTGTGTTCCTGTGGATGCTGTATTGCTGTTGTTTTCTAGCTTTGAGCAGGGAGGAGGCATTTGAGCAGCAAGCAGTACTTTGAAGGAGTGATTTAGGTAAATGGGAGCCATTGCTTGCCCTGGAGCTTGTGCTGTACTTGAGTTTATTCTCCTTATTATTCCCTTTGATACTAAAATTGGTACAAGAGTAAGACTGGAAAATTTTTCAGCTGGTAAAAATGTTTGTGGAAAAGAGGGAAGAAAAAAAAACCCTTTAATTTGATCACACACATTATTAGGGCCTAATAAAGGCGTAAATGAAAAGCCTTAGCAGGCAGGGGATGTCTGTGTTCATCACTGCAGCCCCAAAGTAATGAAATGAGTCAGTTGGTGGTCATTGTCTGGGCTGTGGACCCCCAACAGCTGTCTCTGAACACAGGTCCCAAAGCATCTATTATGATACTCTGGAAAGGGAAGAGGCTGAGTAGAGGGGCACTCAGAAATTCCGAAGAGCCGGTCAGCTGCTGGGCCATCTGGAAGGGAAATAAAAGGCTCAGGCTAGGGGCTCTGGCTTTGTGTTTATTTATTATTTGGTTTTCACTTGCCACATTTTGTCCCCTTTTCACTCCCTCCAGCCCAGAGCAGACACCCACCTCGTCTGCGGTTCCCTTCTTACAAGTTCCTTTCTATAACGTGGTATGGAGAAGTTTACATGTGTACTGCACACTGACTGACCTTCGGTGGGACGCGTCATTACTTCGACCCCACCTCCACCTATTTGTTTCTAAGTTGGCACTGTTTGCATGGGTGTTGAGTGGCAAGTGGCATGCAGCACAGATCTGTGCTATCTGTCTCTGTCAGAGTCTGTGGCCTAGGGATGTGGTCCTAACCTTGTTTAGGGTTCTTTGGCAGGTAGATGCTCAGTAATTGTCAATATGGATGGCTATTGGGTAGTAAATGTTTTCATTGCTTACTCTCCCATCTGCCTTTTATTTAACTGTCCCTAGTCAGAACTCTAACCTATTGCCCACACCGGCCCTTTTATTCAAAAAGAGTCATAAAGGCTCTGGCTAGCTGATTGGGAAGGTCGTTGGTGAAGCTTTACCAAGGTTTATGGCTGTCTTCATTAAACTGGAATTGTTGTTTGCAACTTCAAGGAGGATTTACTACTCTTAATTCAACTTTGTAAGTTTCCTGCTACCTACATGTGCCTGCTCAGCCTGCTCGGCTTGGAAAGCACTGGATCCCCAGATTAGACTGAGTATTCATTCAGGGGAAAGATCTGGAGTGATGTGTGAGTCCTAAGCTGAATCCATTACTGGTGGTCTGGGGCTCTTCATGGTCATTTTTTTTTAATTTATTTAAAATTTTATTTTATGTGAATTGGTGTGAAGGTGTCAGATCCCCTGGAACTGGAGATACAGACAGTTGTGAGCTGCCATGTGAGTGCTGGGAATTGAACCCAGGTCCTTTTGAAGAGCAGCCAGTGTTCTTAACCACCGAGAGCCATCTCTCCAGGTCCCTTCATGGTCATTTTAATGCAAGAATGTATTTCTTCTCAGCTTCACATCCCAACTCTGCTCCAGAAAAAGAGAGTGCCTATCGTATCTGTATTCCTAGAGACTCATTTGGCCAATGGATCAAGGTAGGTGGGGGATCTTCCACCACTGCCCATTCCAATTTGGAGCAGCCTGTGGCCTATGACTGTCCTAGGTTCTCTCAGCACTGTCCAGCCTGCTGACACATAAAGGATGTCATCCCACCACTGCCCATTCCAATTTGGAGCAGCGTGTGGCCTAGGTTCTCTCAGCACTGTCCAGCCTGCTGACACATAAAGGATGTCATTTCAGTAGTTCCATCATTGTTGCCTCCTGTATGCATGTAAAAGATTGAGGGGTCCCAATGGCAGAAGCTTAGCTCTTCCTCCACTGTAATGCTGTGGCCTCGAACAGGTTGCTTAATTTTGCCAAACCCCAATTTCTACATTTGAAATGGGAAAGTGCAACTATCTATGCCCCCGAATTAGGAGGAGTAAATTATATGAATGAGATGGTCTAATAAAGTACTTGGCATTGGCCAGGCTCACTGTACATGCTGGGAACAACATAATAATGATGCCTTCTGGATTCCCATGTCTGTCTCGGCCTTTCTGCGGTTTTATGATATTAAATTTGTCAATAATCTGCCTTTTTAGGCTCAGGGAGCCAAGCATTATCTATTACCATCATCACTCATTACTATAATGATATTCCCGCGGGTAACATCGATGGCCCGTTCTTACCCTCTATTCTGTGGCTTTCCATGCCACTGTTTCACTGCTCAGCAAGCAGAAGTCTGTCTGATTGACTTAAGTTACTCTCCTCAGTTCACGCTTCCTTTCCAGACCTCAGGTATTTTCTTGCTTGATTCAGTCACCTCTCTTGGACCGGTTTCTCTGAGTCTAGCCGCTTCCACTAGCTTGCCTTACTTGGTCCCAGAACAACCCTTCCAGATGGTTGCTGTTATTCTCATTGTCTCAACGATGGGACTTGAGAAGTGTTTTCGCCAGATTCTTCTCCAAAGTTTTGTGTCCTCACTGAAAAATGCAGCTGTTGCTTGTGATGCTTTTGGCATACTCTCCCATGTACTGAATTAACACTTTTGCTGACTTCACTGTAGTTGGGTCGTTGTTGGTGCTGTATTTCTCCTTCAGTGTTATGCCTAACACTGAAAATGCCCTTGAAAAGGGGGAGATGGAGATAACGTATATGGAAGAAGTCAGTGCAGAAACGGTCTACGCTGATTTTGGCATCTCCCACAGGTTGTAAGTTTCCCTCCCTGGAACCCCCATAACATGAGGTCAGTCCGCTTACTGAGAGTCCTTGGCCAAAAGAACCGATTGTGTTGTTTGGTTGAGGGGAAGGAAAGAAAGACAATAATGGAGTAGAAACTGTGGCCCTTAATGCTTATGTTTCTGTCAAGTGGGGAGGAAAAAAGAAATTCTTGCAGGGGAAATTACAGATGAACATTTGGAGAATTGTATCAACCAGCAAAAATGTACTTGGTGCCAGATGAGGACTGACAGCTTGTCGCCATATGTAACGTCTCCTGGATGTTACAGTTGGAGCACTTGTTCCACTGGGGTGGACCCCTCACCTTCCCCATATCACCCCACCCCCACCCTCGCCTTCAGTCTAATGAACATTTCTCCAAAGTTTGAAGCTTTCTGTCTGGGGAATCTGGGAGACGAAGTTGAGGGACAAGAGAGAAAAGCTGCTCTCAAATGAAGGAACTTTGACCTAGTGAACATCCCCTAGGTCAGACATGCTTGCTAGGCAGACTCAAAGCAGCAGATAGGGCTGGGTCTTGTCAGCACATGGTGAATTTCATTCCCTTTCATTGGCTGAGGCAGACAGATCACCCTTGCTTGAAGGGGGAAGTGTTAGGATTCTTTCACTTTTGAGTTTACAAGCCCGTATGCAGAAATCAAGCAAAAATAAACCTGGCTGGTTTCTCTGAAGTTGGTCAGATTACAACTCAGAGGACTCTAAAAGTGAGCCTCAGGGCTGTGAAAATCCCTGAGTTGGAGGATGGGGGCTGTGTGTGTGTGAGGGGTTGTCACAACTGATCTTAGTCCACAATTAACTGGCCCACAATTAACTAGCCAGAGCGCCTTCCTTTTGTGTCTTGGTTTAACACCTAAATGTTTCTTTTCTGAAGCTTTGCTGTTTATGTAGCACTCCCAACATATTTTGAAAACATTTACATACTGATTAGTTAACCCAACAGACCAACCCTGGGAAGGCAGCCAGAGCCCGCTGCACCTCCATGGTAAGCTGCTGAGGGAAGAGACCTTCCCAAGCCAGGGAGCCTGGCCCCTCACCCTGCCATGTTGCTTTCAGAGGTGACCCTCTTTAACACTGAGCTGTGTTGCAGTGTCATCTCCAGCTCATCTTCTGAGGTCACCTACTTAAAGAGGTTATGGCTCTGTTCAGGCTTGTCATATTTTGAACAATTGTCTGTGGAAAGAAAGCAAACAGCCTAGGGCACCACTGAGTTGTTTTGGTAAGCTCCATTGCCACGGGTCCTAGCTGTGTGTAGCAGTTTAAATGACACGATGTCTGTGTTACTGAGAGTTTCCCTTTGAGTTCTGACTCAAAGCTTTGTTTAGTTAAAGTGATGCTTTTATTGTCAGTGCTCTTGGGGGTTGAACCCATGGCCTTGCACATGCTAAGCATACATGATGAGCTACACTCCCAATCCCTGGTGGAAGGTGCTGTGTTTTTAGTCAAGGGGTTGGTTGAAAGCCTGATTGCAAATGGCTGAGGTCACCATCCCAAGGGTATGTGTTATGTTTGGCACCCACTGATTGCATCAGGAAGTTCTTCCAGGTGTGCAGGATTTGGGCTGTATCCAGCACCTAAAAAATTTGGTTATTGTGTATAAGGAGAAAGAAACATCTTATTCTCCCCCCACCCCCGCCCTGGTTTATTGAAACAGGCTCTTTCTGTGTAGCCCTGGCTGTCCTGGAACTTGCTCTGTAGACGAGGTTGGTGTCAAACCCAGCAGTCCACCAGCCACTGCCTCCCAAGTGCTAGGATTAAGTCATGCACCACCACACCTGGCCTATGAAGCATCTTATTCTTGAAGTAAAGTGCCTGGAAGTGTGTGGTCTTAGTTTTAGCAAAAGATGACTCCGAGTTTTTGATGACTTCAGGTTTTTACTGCTTCTAGGGATGGTAAACACCTGGGATTGGGGTTTGTGGGAGATGGGTGTAGGGGATCAGAGTTCTGGGAGGCCCGGCAGCCAGGAATGAAGCATGAGTTGCTAGAGGTGGTGGACTTCAGAGATGCTGTTCAGTTCTCAGAAAACAGCTAGTGGCTCCTCAGGACCTCTCCATGGGAAAGGTTGTAGTGGTGTTTTGCCCTTTCTCTTGGCAACTAAGCATTACCTAGAGCACCCTGGGACTACAGAAAGCCTCGGGGAATACTTTCTGTCATACTGCATGTAATTGCACCAGCAAGGCTAATTGAGTTGCTTTTTGAGTAAAAGGCATCTGGTATCTTGTAAATTGGGAGGTGGCTCAGGCAAAGCCTCTGTTGTCACTGTGATGCAGGAGTACCTAGGCTGAATGGAGTGGAAATAATCAGATTGGTCACCCCTCAGGTCCCAGCCTCAGGGCAGGTTGTCTGGAGCTCACTGACTTACCTGGCAGCTCTGACCCCATAGTGTCTTGGTACTAACAATGATCTCACCTGACCTGACTGTCAGATAGAAGTAGCCTTTCACTTTCCTGAGTCCTTGGGGCTGATGGGGGAGAAACCCTCTCAGGTCCAAGTTTGACAGACAGGCCACTTACCCCTGATCGGTCAGGAGGGGAGACTCTCTCCCTGCCTAATTCCTTCAGGCTGGTCATGTTATCTCTGTTGCAACATTGCAGATTTCCCCCTGGTGCTAACGTGCCTAGGAGTACCATTGGCCAGGCAGGGCCTTGGTGCAGTGTCTCAAGTGGCTGGTGGGGCTGGGAGAGACGCATGTGTGCAGAAGTGACCTGCCTCAACCTATTGTCCTCTCTGTCCTGCACAGGTGAGCGCTGTGGGCTATGGGATGGATGAGGTGGAGCAGGACCAGCATGAGGCCCGACTCAAGGAGCTGTTTGACAGTTTTGACACCCTGGGAACTGGGTCTCTGGGTCAAGAGGAGCTCACTGACCTCTGCCATGTCCTGAGCTTGGAGGATGTGGCCCCAGTGCTGCAACAGACACTGCTTCAGGACAACCTTTTGGGCAGGGTAAGTGGGATGTGGTTTCTGTCAGGGCGCTGAGGGTGGTGGCAAGCCACAGGTGTGTTGCAACTTGTCTCTTGCAACCTGGCCGTTAACCTGGGACATGCAGTTTGCCCCTGTGATAAGGGAGGAGTACGTTGTACAGTGAGCATTATGGGTAACAAGAGAAGTAGGCTGTCTCCCGGTTTTTTCCCTTGTTCTTTATGGGTCATTTCATCGAAGCCATATTCATCATTGGGACTGAGATGGGAGGGGTGAGGTTTCCATGGAAAACAAGAAAAAGGCAGGAAGAAAGCTGCCCTTTACAGGAAGAGTAGATCTCTAGCATGACTTTTAAAAAGCTGTTTTTTGGGTTTTTTGTTTGTTTGTTTGTTTGTTTTGTTTTGTTTTTTTGTTTTTTGAGACAGGGTTTCTTTTTTTTGTTTGTTTTGTTTTGTTTTTTTGTTTTTTGAGACAGGGTTTCTCTGTGTAGCTTTGGAGCCTATCCTGGCACTCTCTGGAGACCAGGCTGGCCTTGAACTCACAGAGAGCCACCTGCCTCTGCCTCCCGAGTGCTGGGATTAAAGGCATGAGCCACCACTGCCCGGCTTAAAAAGCTGTTTCTTGTGTGGGTCATTTTGAGGTAAAGATTAAACCTTCCATCCAGGAAGTAAGACAGGAAAGTTAATGGCGTAGGCCAGCATGTGTGTAAAAGCCAACGTTAATTTCCACATTTGACAGCAAATGCTTTCTCCCTAGATCAAGTCACAAGCTAGAGAAAGAGGAAAAGGGGAACCCCTTCCTCCAACCCCCTAGCAGTGAGCCAGACACTTGGTTTGTTAAAATCTGAGAATGCCTTCCGTTCTCCCACTCATGATCAGTAACCTCATTTATGACACTTTGGAAGGGGCAAAATGAAAGAGGCGGGACCTCTGAACTATGTTGATAATTGTGACACTTTGTGCACGTGGTTTGTCATGTGCTACAACTTGAGGAAGTAGTCATGAACTTAATTAAAGCAAATAGACTTCCTCTCTTCATTTCCTGTTCACCTTCTTTCAGCTGACAAGATGGATAAGTGACCCAAGGCATAGTAGAAGATATTGGCTGTGTGTCAAGACAGGCATAGCACTAACTCTGAAATTAATGTACAGAAAATGATACTGGGCACTTGACACGGATATGAAATCAAACAGCTCACATTAACACTTAAGGAAAAAGAAGGTGAATTTGTTGCAGAAAGTAGGGCTGCTCTTGGTCACTTTGAGGAAAGTTAGATGTTTGTAAATATGTGTGACACCTACAAAATGCTAAAAAAGACTCATTCTGAAAGTAGTAAAAACAGGAGTGTGGAAGATCAAGCCATTTACTCCATGTATGTTATCTCGTGCACTCCAGAGTTTTTGAGTACTGCCTTACGTTTAGGTGTGGTGAAGAACAGAGCATCATCTCCCAGTGTGGTCGGTCCTCGGGTTTCAGGCCTTTGGGTGATGCAGGGGTAGTTGCTTTACTGTTTCTGAAAGCACAAGGAGCCATGTTTCAACTTATGGTCTCCCTGAGAACCTCTCTTAGAGTAAGAGGGGCCACCACAGCAGCTGGCTAACAATTTGCTCTGCAGATGTTAGGCCAAAACCAGGGAACAGTTATCGATTGATTTGTTAATGGCTTGACACCAGCAGCCTGCTTCTTACATTTGCTATTTGCCTGAATAATGAACACCTAAGTGGTCTAGAGTGTGATATTTACTTAGTGAGCCGGTGATAAAGTTAAATAGATGTCTGCATATTGATTTCATGTGGGAGGTCCCTGATGATTGTCTTGAGAGACAGAGTGGGCACAAATTAGTGCACTACTGTTAAATTTGCATTTTTATGAAACTGAATTATTCTCCTTGGTTGATCAAATAAACTTGGCCATATGCTGTGAAGATGTCTCGTGGCTTATAATCTGAAGTTGTAAAGCAATAAATCTCTTAGAGTTTACTGGAGCCATTCTGTGTGTCACCTTCATGATACACTGAGTAGGGTCATGCATTGTTAAGGGGTAAATGTTGAAAATTCATTTAAAATGACACATAGTAACTGTGTGTACTGATGGGACAGAGTGTGGAATTTGAATACATGTGTGCCATGCATCATGATCAGGCATTTCCTTGTGTTGGGAACATTACAAATCATTTCCATTGTCTCTTTTGAAATATTCTGTTAATCATTGTCAACTACAGTTATTCCATTTTAATTTATTTATTCTCTCTGTGTGTGTATATATATATAATATATAATATATATATATATATGAGAGAGAGAGACAGAGAGAGCAGTGAGGGTCAGTAGTGGTATTAGGTTCTCTCCTTTCACCATTTGGGACCTGGGGATCAAACGCAGGTTATCAGACCATGGCATCAAAGCTTTTTTGTTTGTTTGTCTGTTTTCATTGTTTCTGGTTTGTTTGTTGTTTTATTTTGAGACAGAATCTCCCTATATAGTCCTAGCTGGCCTAGAACTGGTTATGTAGACCAGGCTGGCCTCAAACTCACAAGTTTTCCCTGATTCTGTTTCTTTAGTGCTGGGATTAAAGGGATGTGCCACCATACCTGTCCGAAGTTGATTTTTTTTTTACTGTCAACTGTCTTCCCATTAGAAGTTTATAGAAAAAGGGACTAGGGATATAACTCAGATGGTAACTCGCTTACCTGGTATGTGTAAGGCCCTAGGATCAGTCTCTGGGACCACTGCCATCAGAGGATGGGGGAATGATAAGGACTACAAGCTTGATAATAAATAAAAAAGGCAACCTGACAGATTGTAATATATTCATCAACTCACTAATTCAGCAAATATATATTGTATGTCACATGACAGTCATTCTCTTTGTCTTATTGTATTGGTGCAATTTATTGTTTACTGTAAACCATAGTAGAGCCAGGCGGTGGTAGCGCACTCGTTTAATCCCAGCACTTGGGAGGCAGAGGCAGGTGGATCTCTGTGAGTTCGAGACCAGCCTGGTCTACAAGAGCTAGTTCCAGGACAGCCTCCAAAGCCACAGAGAAACCCTGTCTCGAAAAACAAAACAAAACAAAAACAAACAAACAAAAAACCATAGTAGTTCACCAAATTGGCTTTGGGATACATTTGGATCCATTGTTTTCCTCGATGCTGTAGGTGGACTTTTATGTGTTGACAGCCAGTTCCCAAATAACCACACAGACACTTCTTATTGATTATAAAAGCTCAGCTAATAGCTTATGCCTATTACTAACTAGCTCTTACAGCTTAAATTAACCCATATTTCTTATCTACTGTCTGTCACGACATGTTCAACTCCTGCTTCATCTGTGCCTCTCTCTCTCAACTCCTCAGACTCCTCCCTTCTTCCCAGTGTCCTCCTAGTCTGGCTCTCCCACCCAGTCTCTTTCTGCCCAGCTACTGGCCAGTTAGCTCTTTATTAACCAATGAGAGTAATACATGTTTACAGTGTTCAAAGATTGTTCCACAGCAAAATGCTTATGACTTTAATTTACCCTTTGAATATAAATAAACACCCTAATTGAATATAACTTTTATTATATGTATGTGCATTTTCATGCATTTACTAATAGACCATTTTCCTTCAAATTCGATTTAGTTGGTCTGTCTGGATTTGTAACTTAAAGTCTGTATTACCCTGAGCCTGTTGATTACTGTTCAGATGTGTGAAAGGCGTTACTTGTGGGCCCTTGATTTAAAGGAAAGGTTCTGGTGTGTATGTTCAGTCCATACCATCAGCTAAGCACATGTGACTCACCAACACTATGACCTCCTCAGGACACTGAAGTATTGGTAGTCTAGCTGGGTGTTGTACTTGGCAGGTGAGCGGTGAAGGGATGGAACACTCATACAAGGAAGGATGTTATGTTAACTCTTTGCTGAACCAAGCTTTTACCAAGCAAGTAACCCGATATTAGGTGCTTCCTATTTCCTATTTATATCAGTTTTAAAAATGAGCATACAAAGCGATGGATTTCATTATGGCACTTTCATAAATACTTTGCTGTGCCTTTTAGATGAGGTATTCCCTCAAGCCTCTCTTTCTTTCTATCAGCAATTAGAATAGAAACGGGAGAGCTTGCTTTGGTTTGATAGATAGCTTTGATTTAGTTCAGATCTTATGGCTGCTAGCTTAGCTTTAGTTTAGATAGATAGCTTAGATTTGGCTTGATAGATAGCTTGGACGTTGTTGGTCTGACTGGAAACCTTCAGTCTATAGTCATGTGACATGGTTCATTTCCCTTTCCTTATCCACTATGACAACTTTGAGACAAGACAGTTCCCTGAAGTTCTGAAGTCTTCCATTGCTGTGTTTCTTGATGAAATCTAAACCTCCCTGTGTTATTGGCACACCTGTCTCAATGAAAACAAGCCACCTGGTAGCAGAACTTGCCACTGGCTTCCAGAGTCCCATGAGTATGTGGCCTTTGAAATTTTTAATATTAAGCTAAGAGGTGGTGGCACTTGCCTTTAATCCCAGCACTTAGGAGGCAGTGGCAGGTGGATCTCTGTGAGTTTGAGGCCAGGCTGGTCTACATAGTGAGCTCCAGAACAGCCAAGGCTACACAGAGAAACCCTGTCTTGAAAAAAAAAAGTTTTAATATTAAAATTTGATAGCTGTGCAAATATATAATTGAGTTCCACTTTCTACCTACCTACCATTGGGGTTCTTTTTGGAATGAGTAAGCTTGAATGTCATGAGTAAGCTTGAATGCTAGATTTGCCCCTTGTTTCCAGGTCATTAAAAGCTCAAGAGTAAGCTTGAATGCTAGATTTGCCCCTTGTTTCCAGGTCATTAAAAGCTTCTTATGGTTTCTTTGTCCTCCACATATTTAATTATTTGAAGAGTAAATCTGAAAAGAAGAGGACTCTGCTTATTTGGACTTGTTCTCAGTATATGCAATTACACTTGATCATCAGCTCCTGCCTATTTATAACCATTGCAATCACGCCCTTCAGACTGCCTGCAGTGGGGAGGGAGAGCTCTCTTTATCCTTCTGT